CGGTACTCATGGAGGTATGAACATATTTACTAGCGGTATTACTTGGAAGTACGGTATTATTGCCACACAAWTTTTTTAAGGTGCGTACGACGTACGGTGAATACATCTACAAATAGTATCTATAGTACATATATAAGATATGTACTATACTACCTCTGTTGACGCTATCGCGCCGCTGCTGTACAGCAGGTAGGGCATTGCCGCGCTTGGTATGGTGCTGCATTGCATTGGATTGGACTCTACGTCATGTGTACGTAGATTACTGTAGCGTGTAGAGGCGTTGGGAAAAAACCGTCGCAGCTCGTGGACGGATTGGATCAAAACCAACGAGGAAAAAGGATAGGGACTTGTGTTGCTTGTTCCTCGGAGTGATGACTGCTCCTCTGCGGCAACTCTTGCTATTGCTCCTATTGCCTATTGCACTTACTGCTACAGCACAGCAGACCAAACAGACTCCCCTTTCCTTTCGCATACGGAGGCAACAGCTACTCTTCCCGGAACAAGATTCCCTTGAAGCACTCGTACTTCTTGGTGCTGCAACCATCCTATTTCACCTGCTACTATCTAGAGAAGTGCCGTAAATCGAAAGACCAACAAGCAGAGCATAGCAACCAATTCCACTAGGAAGAACAAGCCTTCAAGTCCCATTGTATTTTATCGCATTGCATTGCATTGCATTGCATTGCATTGCATTGAATTCGATCGAAAGACCCGCACCCGGTTCGTTGCACCCCGCTTCGCTTCGCTGCGCCCATAACTGCCCATAACAATATCTGCACTGCCACAATGCCCCGCTCCGACTCCCTGGCAAAAGCCTCCTCGTCGTCGTCGTCCAAGACGAAGAAGAAGAGCAAGCGGTCCTCGGTAAAGCGCGGCCCCGGCCTCTCCTCGATGTCGGGGGGCGCCTCGGTGTCCACCCGCAACACGCGGTCCAGCCACGCCTCGGACGGGGACGAGGACGCCGACCTGTACGAGCTGGAGCAGCGGCTCACGGAGGAGGTCGACGAGGAGTTCTTCCAGGACCCCCGCAGGTTCCACACGCTGCACCGGGTCATCGACGTCCTGGGCATGCAGCTCACCCTCAACGACAACGACTCGGCCTTTGGAAGCACCGGGAACAGCAAGTCCAGCAGGAAGAACAAGGGCCCCCGCCGGTCCAGCGTCCACAGCGGCAAGAAGGAGGTGATGCGGATCGACAAGAACCCGGCCTACCGGGCCCTGGCCTCCCAGAGGGACGTGGTGGAGGAGGCCATCGAGCACCTGGCGCTCATCCACTGCGCGGACCTCAACGGATCCGTCGTGCAGGTCGGACGGGTGGCCCGCCAGTTCCACGACGCCGTCTCGCAGGTACAGTCCCTCCGCAAGCAGGTCAAGGACATCCAGGAGACGCTGGGGACGGGCGGCAGCGGCCAGCGGGAGCTCCCGGGCCAGGAGGGCAACGCGGCCGGAAGCAATCCMRGCCAGGCCCCCAACCCCAAGAAGGACCTCGAGGCGGCACGGGCCGCACAGTCCTCCGCCATGTCCCTCCGCGAGCTCTGGCTCAAGAAGCTCGAGGCGGAGGCCGTCCTGGCCCTCCTGGACAAGCTCGACACGATCCGGGCGGCACCGATGCGCTTCGACGACCTCCTCAAGCAGCACCGGATCGGGGCGGCCGTGGTCACCGTCTCGAACGGACTGGACACGATGTTCATGTCGGACGTCAACCAGGTCCAGGCCCTGCACAAGATCATGGAGCAGCTCATGATCCGCAAGCAAAAGGCCGAGGAGGTCGTCTGGGAGCTCCTCTCGGAYGTTCTCTTTCTGAGGACGGGCAACGGGATGGCCCAGCTGGTGGCCCTGGGCGCGGGGGCCGGGGAGCTCCTCTGGAACGGCGGGCAGGCCGACAAGGGACGCCGCCGGGCAACGGCCGGTGCCTCCCTCTCGGGGGAGTCCAACAGCCTCAAGCAGGACCAAGCGGACGGGAGCACCGGCGGCGGGGCCGGGTCCGCCGGAGGCGAAGGTGCCCACAAGGCCGGAGACCACGGGGCCGCCGATTCCATGGCCATCGACAGCAACAACTCCATCGTGGCCACCTCGGAGGCCTCGGCCGGGGGCTCCACGGCCCGGCAGCTCTCGGGAAGCGGGACCGGGGGGAACCCCTCCACGAACCCGCTGGCGGCCGCMTCSTACCTCTGGAACCTCCCGCCCTCCGGCTGGGACTACGTCCGCCGCCAGCAGGCGGGAATGGTCAACCCCTTTCTGACCACCAAGATGAGGTTCGCCCTCGATCCGGACGACCTGCAGCTGGAGTCCATCCTCCGGAACATCGAGGCCGAGCAGCGGGAGAAGGACCGGGGGAAGATCACCGAGGGCGTCGACGAGGATTTCTACGACGACGAGGAAGACGAGCAGAACCCCCTCTACGGACAGGGCGGCCACTCCGGGAGCGGAACGGACCGAGACGAGGCCAAGCTCCCCGACGACCCCAGCGGGGGCGATCCGTCGGCGACCTCGTCGTCCCAGCGGCCGAGGGCGGTCATCCCGGCCTCCATGATGGACGCCGAGTTCGACCTGGAGGCCGACGAGCGCCGCTCCCTCGAGGAGCAGCAGTACGACGGCCAGGGCCGCCGCCGGAGGCAGGCCCTCCACATGACCAAGCCGGTCTACCTGGACCACGTCCTGGCCCTCCGGACGCTCGTCGAGTGCCTGGCGAGGCTCCGCCGCCTCGACGACGTCGAGCGGATCGTCACGGAGGCCCTCGAGCGGGAGCTCTCCCAGCTGGTCCAGAGGGAGCAGGCCCGGACCTTTCTGTGGGTCGAAAAGTCGGCCACCGACCGCCGGGGGGCCGGGGGACGGTACGCGGCCCTCCTCAACAAGGCCGGGTCCGGGATCGACCTCCGGGACTTTCGCCTCCACCTCAACCACATTCTCAGCGCCTTTGGAAACGTCCAGGTCCGGCTCGTCCACCTGACCCAGATCATTCGGCACCGGATGGTGAGTAGCGCTCGCTTGTGTGTGATGTGACGTGACGTGACGTGACGTGACGTGATGCGATGCGATGTGATGTAATGTGACGTGATGTGAATGGAGTTCGTTGTGGTGTCTCTTGTCCGATCGGGGTGCTTGGTTCTGTACTGTATTGCGTGTGGCTTGCATGCGCTGCGGCATTTCGTTCCCATTCTCACACGCTGGCTTCCTTCACCGTGTGTGTGTTGTGTTCGATTCCAATCGCGACACAGAACAACGAAAAGCCCGACGCTTCCGGTTATTCCGCAAACGGCTCCGTTGCCCTTCGAAATCTCTTGGTCAATGCCAGGTCGATCATGGAACGGGAGCTCAAGGCGTTTTTGAACGCCTGTCTCATGAAAATAAGAGACACGGAAGACCACGCTTCGTCGACCGCCAACGGCCAAGCCCGTCCGGGCGCGACGAAAAACGCYTCCAACAAGCGAAGAGGGCGGGAATCCTCTGGCCTCTTTTCCCTCGGAATCATCGACAAGGGTGGCCCCGACAACGATGGATTCGGCGACGGGGCAAACMAACTGATGGCCTCTACCTCGAGCAGCCGCCGGTCCAGCATCCAGAACTACACCACCGCTAGATTTGCGGTGGATGTCCTGTTTGCCAAGACCACCCAGAACGGCCAGCCCCAGATCCGCCACGCACTCTTTTTCCGAAAGGCACTGGCCAAGTGGCAGCGCAACAACGACCAGCTRCGCTACCAGCTAGCGGTGGCCACCGGAGAGGACACCAGCACCAACACCTACCTCTTTCAGCGGGAGCAACCGGCGCTCGAATACCTGGACAACGTCATCCAGAAGCAGCTCCTCCCCGTCCTGCAAAAGGAGGCGGTGGACGGAACGGTCCACGCGCTCGAGCGAMGGGACGCCTTTGATCCGGTGTTGGACCGCAACGTGTACGCCCGCGCCGATTCGAACGAGCCGCAGGACGTGGACATGTGCAAGGCCTGCACGGCCCTCTTCAACTTTACGGGCCCCCTCTTCCTGGCCCTCCACCGGCTGCCAAAGGGCGGGGACATGTATCTGCCTCTGGTGGCCGTTCTGGAACACGTCATTCTGACCTTTATTTCCCGCGTCAAGCAACAGGTCTCGCGGATTTGCAACGACAAGACGGCCCTRCAGCTTCTGATGGATTCGACGGGGTCCTCGGTGTCGGCCACCGGATCCGATGGCAGGCAGATCAAGTCCCGTTCCCAGTCCTTCGGTCAGGTCATGGAACGCCGCAAGTCTTTTGCCCAGCTGGTGCTGGCCTACGCCGACGGCGACCTGCTCGATGCGGTGAACGACGAAAACACCGGAGAGTTGGCCGGTGTCCCCAGCCTTCCCGCACCCACAGGGGATACCCCCCGCGGAACCAACCTGAGCAACAAGATCGTTGGCATGGAAGACCTGGACTTTGAGGGCGGCGTGGAACGCGAGGAGCTCAACCTGAGCGTGGAGCTGAACTTTGTCCGACCCTACCTCGAGTTTGCGGGAATGGAACACGCGCAGATCAAGGTCTGTCCGGAYGAGGACCTGATGAAGGCGGCCTGCCTGGCCCACAGCCTCCTCAAGCTCGCTTCGCTCCTGGACAGCCGGCTCAAGGTGAGGAGCCGACTGGGAATCGCCTCCACGAAAACCCTGACCAACACACGGGCCCTTCGAGAGGCCATCAAAACCATCAAGGCCAACGGACTGAAAATGGCCAAGTTCTGCCGGGCCGACATTTTGTTGCAGGGGATCACCCGCCTCTGCAAGGTGTGCAACTCCTCCACCATCGTGGCGAGAGACGCGGTTCGCATCCCCTCGTCGATCAACGACCTCGGCGAATACATGACGGCGGCYTCCGACAATCTGCGGGAGGCGGCCGGAAACGCCGTGACGGCCTACGCCTTTTCGACGCTGGAACAGTACATTCCGCTGTGCATCATCCAGACCGTCCGTGTCCTGGCCGCCGGAAAGGGAGTGGTCGCGAAGGCCCCCCTTACGATGAACGGAATYGAGGCCCTGGATCGATCCGGCTCGGTCCTGTACCGAGATCTGAAGGGAGCCACGTCCTTCGACAACTCCTTCTGGGACATCGAACTCGCCGCCGTCTCCTTTGAGCGGTCGGCGAGTTTCATTGCCATGATGGAACTGGAAATGGCGGAGCTGGAAGCCTACTACCAAGAAAACCGCGACGACTTCACGGAGGAAGATTTCAAGCTCATGTTTTCGATGAACGGTCCGAGACGACGAGGGGACATTATTCGCTACAACATGCTGGTCAAGAAAATGGGCAGGAAGTAGGGCGAGTTGAACGACATAGAATCGACGAATGGCCGCGCCCCTGCTGGATTAGAAGCATGGAAAATATCCCGTGGACCTGTATTAATGAAACCTAATGTACAATTCTGTTTCGTAAAAGCCGATTGCCTGCTTGTACGTTTGCGTTTGTTGGTGATTCTATGCTCTATATTCAATGTTTAGGTTGCGTTTGTAATTTGCGCAATGCGTGTGGTGCAGCTAAAAACGAACTGCCCCGTGTTTCTGCTTCGTAGCTGCCCCGAGCCATCGAGAACGAACCCGTCCCGATGGTTGTGTTTTGTGTTTTGTTGTACCGTAGTGTGTCATGTCGTGTCATGTTGTGTTGCTTCGTGTTGTTTTCTATTCCCTTGTCTCCTCACGGTCMGGCATCCGCCTCCGCCCCAATGGTTTCGTCCATAAAGGCATTCAGTTCGATGATGCTCCCCGTCCGACACAAAAAGTCGACAAAGACGTCGTTGATGGAAGCATCGTCGTCGTGGGGTTGTTCCTCCCCGGTTCCAACCACAACGACGCCGCTGCCATCGACGAGGGCARCGGGATCCTTCTTGCCGCAGGCATTTCCGCAAAGGGTTTTGGGATCATCGCCGTCGTCGCAACACCGCTGGTGCTTCTCGTCGCCGTCCTCCGGGAACAGCGACGACCCCTGGCTGTCGTCGTAGCTGAGAGACCGACACCCAATGACGTCTCCGTCGCCGTTATCGTTATCGTCGCTTTTGAATTCTTGTTCCTTGTCCGACGGCTGCTGTTGCTGTTGTTGCTGCTGTTGTTGATCGTCCGCATCCTTTGAGGTTGCTTCGGGTGAAGCGTGGCCATTGCTGTTGCCGTTGTCGATTTCGTTTGTCGTGTTGTTGTTGTTGTTTTTCTTGGCCTTCTTTTTTTTCTTCTTCTTTCTCTTTTTGCCCGACTTGCCGGCGGCGGTGCCGGGGTTTGTGTGTTGTTGCTTGTTTCCCTCCTGTTCCTGTTGGTGTTCCTCGATRAGCAACTCCAGGTCCCTCCTCGCCTTGACGTCCTCGTCCCGCTTTATTTTCTTGAGGATCGACGGGTTGAAGGCGTCGAAGCAATCCGTGCAAAAAAAGTGGTGCGTTCGGCGGCTCCCGTGGTTGCTTGCCTGGTTCGCAGGGTCTGTTGTTTTCGTCGTCGTTGTCGTCGTTGCCGTGGTCCCATTGTGGCTGGACTTCTGCTGTTGCGGCGAATGGATCCTCGTCCCAAAGAGGTCGTCGTACCGCTTGGCAAAGGTCGCCCGGCACCCCTTGCAGTGGACGTAGTTGTCCCGGAGGAAGCGGGAGAGCCTCTCGTCGTTRGTGGACCGCCCCAGGCCGTCCCGGACGAGCTTGGTCACCTCCAGGTTCCGCCGGTAGGCCTCCTGGTAGTCACCAAAGAGGCGGGAGGTCTCTGGGCAACGGTCGCCGCCCTCGTAGTGGTCGTACTTGGCGTCGGTGTGGTTGTGGTGGTCGTCGCCCCAGCGGTTGCGGTCGTCGACATAGCCGTCGCGGTGGTGTTGGTTTTGGTGGTGGCTGTCGTTCTCGCGTTCGTTCTCGCGTTCGAGGGACCGATTGCTTCCGTGCGGGGTGGCGGTGTGCCTCCTCCGCCAGGAGGCGTAGGACCAAAAGAGGACCGCGTTGCAGCCCTCGTCGATTTCCTGGAGGGATTCCAGGATGTAGATGGACCACTCGGTCTTCTCGATGAGCTTGGCCTTGGTCTCCATCCGCCTCATCCACATGCCCACGTTCCGGACCAGCAGGTAGATCTCGTTCCCAAAGTTTCGCTCGGCGGTGGTGGGACCGTGGGGGGTCTTGCGCCGCTCCTCGTTCAGGGAGTTGACGACGTCGTGGATCCCGTCGATGCGTTTCTGGATCTCGTCGATCTCGCGGTTGTACTTGGTGATCTTGGTGGCGTAGTCCCGGACCATGGCGCGGTTGAGGACTCCCGGGACCGCCGAGGGCAGCCGGGGATTCCCGTGCTCGTCCGAGTCGTCCGAGAGGTTCCCCTGGATCACCGTGTACAGATAGGAGAGGGGATGGAACTCCCTCACGTACCTGGCGGTCGGGGTTGTCCCGGCGCCCTGCTTCCGATTGATTTTCCAGCACAGGTCGTTGTTCGTTTCTGATGGGATTCGGGACGATTTCGACGAGGCTTTCGACGAGGCTTTCGAGGAGGCTTTCGATTTCGACGGCCTGCTCGGGGCCAGTCGATCCGGCGCTGGCATTGTCATTGTCCGTGACACCGTTGCTGCCAATTCCAATGGTTTCTTTTCGTTGTATCTTTCTCTGTCCCTGACGTTATTCTAGTGCTATTGCTATTGCTATCTTTGTTGCTGAAGTCTTTGTTGACGTCGTTGTTTTCTTCGTTCCCCGAGTGCCATTTGTTCTTGGACCATTCCTTTTCTTCAAGTTCTTTTTGTCCATCCGTCACCGTTTCCTTCGGCCAGTCCAATCGATTCGATGCGGAGCCGACCCTGCGCTGATCTTACAACTTGGTTGTCAACACCGGGCAGAGGGGATGCGAGTGCGACGATATTATTAGTCTGGAACAGTTGCGGTAACAGTTGTCTTCCGTGAATTTCCAATCGGTGGTGCCGAGAGAGATTTTGTCGCAAGGACAAACCCGGTCCATTTGTCACGCARGTTTATTTTTAAGGACTGGCKGTTGTTTTTTCATACAGTATCGTATGGTTGATAGTTGATAGGGTACGAGGAGTACCATACGTACAGTCACTCACAGGCATGGAATAAATCTTCTGTTGTATTCCGAGTACTCGTACTTGTAGTACATTAGACCATCTACGTACTATCCACCGGTACAGCACTGCTAAGATGTCATTCTTCGTTGGAAACAGATGAAGTTCTGTTTTTGTGAAACAAAATCAGCAGCAGAATGATCACAGCCAACGAAGCAAGGCAATCATCTCAGTCAAACTCTCCCAAAGAAAAAATATATATCATCCAAACAGTAATACAGTACGTACGTAACATATGTATGTATGTACTCATTCAACGACAAACGAGAAACGAGAAACGAAACACGAAACCGTGCAAATCAAGAACCAACGGTGTTCTAGTCCTTTACATGTCTGACCGTCCTCCGGTACTAGTACCGTGCTCCCTCACACCAAGTAGATAACAGATTACCGATTTCCACTAGTTAGCTACTGTAATAGCTACTGAATAACCTCAGTCTGGCACAGCATTGAAGAGCATAAGGTACCGGTACCCACATTTAACAGTTTGAAACCTGAACTGAATCTAAATCGAAAACAAAACCCCATCGTGATCTGTTCTTTTCAATGCCGACAATGGCGAAACAAACTCAAATACCACGAGCAGTCCTGCCAGATGATGCCCTTTTTCTAGCGAGCAAAGTGKGCAAGAATGGAAATGAATAAAGYACGAAATACAGACTTCCCAAATCCCATCGCGGTTTCCTCTAGGAGTATAGCAGGCAAACAAATGACAAACAAAAACCATAATACTAATGCGATAAAAGTAACCCATCGGGAGTAGTGGCTCCTCTGGGTCTTTGGAAATACGCGTGGAAAACACTTTGTCTTGGAATTCCAAAAAAACAGGAAGAAAAAAAATGGATGCTAAATGCGTAGTTCTACGGCGATTGCCACGACGAGCCGTCGCTGGCCTCTTTCTCACTACGAGTACCCGCCGCTACGACCTGGCCAGGGCTTCCTCCAGCTCGTCGTCGAGGGTCATCCYGGAAGACCGCTCGGCCTCGTGGCGCCGCACCGCGAGGTAGGCCTTTGCCAGGCGGGGGCCCATCGTCTCCGAAAGGGTGGCGTCCTTTTCCAGGTGGTCSAGCGCGTCCRAGAGGGTCTCCGGCAGCAGCGGYCCCCTTTGGTCCTTCGAGAGGGGCGGCCGCAGCTCCATCCCCCYGGCGATCCCGTCMAGGCCGCTCGAGAGCACGGCCGCCAGGCCGAGGTAGGGGTTGCAGGAGGCGTCGAAGAGCTTGAGCTCCACGTGGTCCCACTCRCCGGTGGCGAGGTTGGAACACACCCGGACCCCCGCCTCCTTGTCTTCCAGGGCCCACCCGACGCGGCTCCCCGTCCAGCACCCGGGACCGACCCTCCGAAAGGAATTGGCGGTCGGCATCGTCAGGCCGAGGAGGCCCGGCAGGTGGTGCAGGATCCCCTCGACCAGGGAGGACCCCCTTTGTGCGAGGGAGTCTCCCTCGCAAAAGAAAGGGGCTCCCGTGGTGGCGTCCGAGACGGACAGGTGCACGTGCATCCCGTTGCCCGCCCTGGCCGCGTCGTACTTTGGCAGAAAGAGGGCCTTGTGCCCGTGCGACCGCGCCAGGGCCCGGATGGTCTCCCTYGCCAGCAGCAGGCTGTCGGCGAGGCCGACGGGGTCGTCCGAGTGCTCGAGAACGACCTCGAGCTGGCCCGGGCCGGACTCGGCGTGGACGAGCTCCACCGGGACGTACTGCCTTTTGAGCTGATCGTAGAGCTCGCCGACAAAGTCCTCCCGCTCGTTGAGGATGGTCGTGCCGGCAAAGACCGACTCATCGACAAACTCGTGCGTTTTGGCATCGACGAGGCAAAACTCGAGCTCGACTCCCACCGACTGCACGAACGGAACGCAACGCAACGAATCCGCGACAAACAAAACAAGTGGAACCAAAACAAAACGTGCAAAAACAAACAAAAAGCGTGAGCTTCGCTGCCACTCGAACGGGGACMAAACAAGGCAATCGCGGGCGGGTCCCAGAGAAAGAATACTTCGACACGTACAAAGATTAGGTTGTGCTCGTTTCTGGCTCGCTCCACCACCATCCCCAGCAGGCTCCGCGTGCAGAGCGGGCTCGTCTCGTGCGTGTACTGGTCGACCGARGATCCCATCACCATGGCCGACCTGGGGGCATAGGGCAGTATCCGAAAGCTCCCCATGTCGGGCCTCAGAACGAGGACGTCGGACGCCGTCAGCCCCGTGCCGGCGATGGCGACGTCTGCGTAGGAGGGGAGGCCGGCGTAGCAGATCTCGGCGATGGAAACCTGGTGGTCCAGGACCGAATGCGAACGCGAATGCGAACGCGAATGCGATGGCCCGCGGGCACGGTTGCCCCCGCGCTCCTTCCGGCGGAGCAGGTGCTCCACCGGTTTGGCTTTGCACCGAATGTTGTTGAAGGCGTCTACCGTGCAGTATCGAAGAAACTGCACCCCGCTGAAGTGCAGGCTGCGGAGAAGGGCCGCATCGTAGGCGRAARACTCGTCGTGGTTGTGTTTATGTTTGTGGTTGTCGCTGTCGTTGTGGTTGTTGTACATCTGTTTGCTTTGTGGAAAATGCAATAGGTACTGTAGTTGTTTTGTTGCTGCTGTTCTTTTTGTTGTCGTTGCTTTTTATGTGACAAATCGTCGSCRTGCATCCCGTTTTGTTTTTGAATTGTTCTTCGCCCGAGTTGGCTGTTGCGTTGTGTCCGAATGGCTCTTCGTACGATGTTGTACGGTCTGCTACGGTACTAGCGTAGCTTCGCGGCTCGGTAAATCTTACTCATGCAGTTTGCTTTAATCGTGATCACGGCGCCACGGCAAAGTTCTCCGCGGCAAAAATATCTTTTCATGTCCACTGCTCGCTCAGGTAGTGAGGTACGGTAGGTACTTTCGCAGTACTAGGATTCTCAGTACTGGGATCACGAATGGAGAGTAGGGTAGGCAGTGAACAGTGAATGCATTGAATAGTTTCTAGACGTATTTTCTACGTAGGGGTACTGTACGTTGCATACTAGATTCCGTGGAGGACTGTACGTAACCGCAGAGACGATTTGTGTTGACACTTTGTGTTTCGTACTTCATTTCTTCATCAGATCGACCGAGGTGCAGATCACTAGCAGGGAGTTGTAGTATTGCAACCAACCAACCAACCAACCAACCAAACAGAAGAGAACAGCACAGCACAGAGTATACATCGCAAAGCACAGAACGCACGGGACGCGGGCGTTTGCCAAGGCATCCTATCCTCCCATGAAGCCCAAGCCGGTCCCCCCGAACTCGTCTTCCCCGTGGCCCCGGAGGCGGGGCAGAACCGGCGCCACCGCAGCGGCGCTGGTCCGGAGCTGCGCGCTGGCGGCCCTTTTCTTCGGGGCGCTGRTCCTCTGGTTCACCCCCCCGGAAGCACCCCCTTCCAGAATCCGGGCCGGTGGGAGCAGGGGCCCGGCCGAACGCGGGAAATCGGGCGTCCCACCCACAACGGCAGCGGCAGAAGCAGAAGCGGAGAGAGCGGTGGTGGTGGTGGTGGAATGCTTGGTGTCGACCCCGCACTCCAAGACGCCCGAGACCGCCGCGAGCGGGTTGTTCCGGATCGCCATCCGCGGCGGGGACGCGGCCCGGAAGGGGTCCTCGGCGGCGGCCTTTCTGGAGCTCGTGCGGAAGGGCTTCTACGACGGGAACTACTGCTTCCGGGTCATCGAGGGCTTTATCGTCCAGTGGGGGGTCGGGAGGGACCCGCCCCCCTCCAAGCCCGCCGCCCACCGCCTCCCAAGAGCGGACYTTCCCGAAACAAAGGCCGGTGGTGCCAGAGACCCGGGCAAGGAGAACCGCCGCGGGACGGTCACCATGATCGCCGGAGGGACCGGCCAGGTCTTTGTCAACCTCGGAGACAACCGGCGGCTCGACAAGGAGGGGACGATTCCCTTTGGTTTCGTGCTGGAAGACGAAGAAAAAGACAAAGACGGCGGCAGCCACGGCGGGATGGCCCTGGTCGACCGCATCTACCACGGCTACAAGGGCGGGCAGGGGCAGATCCCGGCCATCGCGGACGGGACGATCCCGGAGAAATTCCCCGAAATGGGGCGCATCGACGCCTGCTACCGAATCGATTAGAACAGAACAGAAGAAAACACAAGCGCCGAAGGGATGCATCCAAGCGAGAGGAATTCGTCTCGCAACGGACGGAGCAATTGCTCGCTTCTTCGTCCATTCCGCTTCCACCCGCGCCTTGCGGCTGTCGGTCCCGCCGCATGTTTGTTTCGAACGGGGTTCCGATGAGGGTTTTCTCCGATCGGACCCGTTTCCCGCGCACATGGAATGCGCCTACGCAGCAGGAACATCGAGGGATTGGAATTCCAGCTCTAAATACAGGGGGACTACAMTATCATTACTRTTGCTACTCTATACAGATMATATCATATATTGTATCGTGTCGTGTCGTGTGCCATTGCACGGCGATGGCGGGCCACCTAGGCAGCGAGCTGCCGGATCCGGTCTTCCGGGGGCCGGGCTCCCTCCGTTCTCTGCGACTGCCCCCAGAGGCGCTCGCGGAGCTCGATCAGAACGTCGGGCTTGTTCACGCACAGCTGCTGGACTCCCGTCCGCACCACCGCCTCGTACATGGAGAGGTCCTCGTTGCCGACGTCCAAGTACTTGGACGAGGTGTCCTCCCCCATCCCGATCGGCCCGCGGAACCAGGCCATGCTCCCGAGCCCCGACGCGTGGATCCGTTCCACCAGGTCCCTGGTGCAGGTGTCGTACTTGAGGTGGACCTCGGTGGCCCCGACCGCCAGGGCCCGCTCCACCACGTCGCAGTCGGCCCAGTCCTTTCCGGCCTCGGCAACGCCGTCGTTTTTGCTGCCACGGAACGCGGAGGGGGGCGCGTAGTAGTCGTCGTCGAGGCTCCTGCCGGAGGAGTCGATGTGGTTGAAGAGCGCCCCGGTTTTGTATAGATACTCGCCGGTGGACGGGCAGCGCTGGGGACGGAGCTTCCTCACCCGTTCGAGTTTCTGCAGGTCAAAGCTGCTGTAGGAACACATGTCCGCGACGTCCAGCGAGTCCACCAAGTCCAGGACGCCCTCGACCACGTCGGGACCCTTGAGCTCGATCTTGATGTGCATGTTGGTTTGGCCGGGGTCGTTGTTTTTCCGCTTGGCGTCTAGCAGGAYGTCCTCGAGGGTGGGGATTTCCCCGTCCCGGATTTTCTCGACCGGACAGGGAAACTCGGCGTAGTCGGGGTTGAAGGTGAGTTTTTCCCGGATTTCCGTCTCGTAGTTGTAGTCGAGGATGCTACCGTCGATCCGGCCCGAGACTGTCGACGTTGACGTCGAGGAGGAGCTCGTGTATTCCGTTATATCTATCGAGTGGCAGTCGCGAAAGTCATATCTGGACCTTCCCGGTGGGATCGTGTCCGACAACGCATCACCAACACCGTTCCCGGCCTGCTTCTGCTGCTGCTGTATTATCTTCGGAAACGAAGGGTCCACGGCGACCCGAGTTGAAGGTTGCACCGCCGATGGTGGTGCCACGAAGGCACTGGCAACGTTTGTGTGCGCCGAGGAGAAGGTCATGATCGCTCCGACGGCGATTGTGGCTAGGCAGTTGAGGTTGCCGGAGGAAGCGAAAGTTCCGGGGAGCTTGTTGTGATAGCTAGATTGGATGGCGCGGAATCTTTGTTTTCTTGGGAGCCTCGAAGAGCGGGAGGAGGTAGGGCAACTCCTGCTGGTGATTGCTGCTGTAGTATGGGAGGGGGATGATCCGGATCGAAATTTTGTTCTTCCACCGATAATCCTGGGCATGTTCGACGGGAAGGTTTGTGTTGGTGGGATACGGTTGYCAGGAGGGTGCGGTAGCATAGCAACGCTGTGGTCTGAGGAAGGAATGTCACAGTTCACGAGTKGTGTCGTCGTAGGTTTCGACACTTTGAGTGTCGTCGTCGTCGCCGCCGTCACCGACGTTTTGAAGTTTTTGTAGAACATCAGAGAGAGACGTGGTTCTCGCAGGAATCTCACAACACCGGCGAAAAGAGTGTCGAGATTCAWCTCTTTTATCTTTCTCTAGTTGTGCATAAGAAACAAAAGAAAAAATGTAGTCGTTTGGTTTTCTCGGCTTTCTTCCAATAGAAACAAACGAGCGGTCTGTAATCAATCGACGAACTGCAATTGCGATCTGGGACCCATAGGAGTCGAATCTAGACTGAAGTTTTGAAACACCAACACCGATT